TTTTTAGCGTCGTTTAACGCTTAGACTCCAGCGGACAGGCAGGCTTCTCGGCCCCAGAGGCAGCAGCACTAAATCAGGACACTCTGAGGCCCCGATAAATAATTTTTACAGGGCACGCAGCCCATAGATCACCAGTGGGGGTGAGGGGAGAGCGGCTGTGATATTTCAACCGATTGTCATATGTGACTATCCCATGCTCTGACTCCAGGTTGTCCACATGGCAGCCGGCTTCATAACTAGAGTCAGCTCAGGCCCTCTGCACAGGGCACGTGAAGGAAGGCTCCATAGCTCTAGCCAGAAGACGACCCATTGTTTCTGCAGCCTGGGAAAAATGAGTGTACTCAACTCGCCCTTGGCCGAAGATTGTCAGTGCCCCTTCATGCCTCTGGCACCAGCACAGGGACGGCTTGAGACAGAGTGTAGAGAGGAAGAGAAAGAACCACCTGTCACCAAAAGTCATTTTTCAGACCACCTTCCCTGTTCCTCAACCACCCCTGAGTCTGATGACCCTGCGAGTGAACAGCATTGGGCCCGCAGCAGGAGGAGGGCAGAGGGAAGGGCTGAGGTTAGTGAAACTGACCAGCATCTTCATGCATTTAGTGAAAGGGACAGAGCCACAGGGAGAAGGGTCAGGGAGGGGGTAGCTATGTGGAAAGGGGGAGAAAGAAGGCCAGATAATGAGAGGAACAGAACAATGAAGAAGGAAAGACACGAGAAGACTTAGGAAAAGAGAGACTGAGGCAAAGGGAAACAGGGCTCAGTGCGGAGTGGGTATTTTTCTAAAGCCTGGTACCAAGCAGAGGAACCGTGGGTCTACTGGGCCCTGGGAGGGCTGCATCTATGCCAGGCTGCCCTGCCCGTGCCCTCCGAGGCACCCTTCCACAGCTCCAGGCCTGTGTTTCCCTTCACCAGCTCCACACTGCCCCCTCCCTCCGGTGCCCTTGCCCCGTCTCCTCATCAGTAAGATCCTGGGATTTTCAGGGACACTTAATCCATATGGAGCTGATTCATTCCCATCTAAATCATCTCCATGAGCTTCCCTAAGAGCCCTCTGATGTGCCAGCCGCCATTCCTCTCCCTGGGTGATGGTGGGCTGGGGGCTGCCAGTAAACAAACCTCAGTCGCCATCCATCCATCCTGACCTCGTCCATCAGTCCTGTCAAGATCATTCATTTCTCCAGCCTGGCTCCCCCAGCCCCGCAACCCCTCCATCCACCCATCTGTCCCTTCTGTCCCCTCCTCCTCATGTCTGTCAATTGGAATCTTCTCTTTTCTTGTCCTGGGTGGGATCTTGAAGGGTCTTCTCAGGGATCCCCTGCCTTCAGACCAGAGCCTTACCTTACCCCTGGCTCAGCAAGATGGGTCTCTCCTGCTTTGTTGCCTTCCAAATAGAGAGTCCTTTGAGTCTGATGATCTTCCTGTACAGTGTTGACCCCCTAGGGAAGTTCTTTTGCTTAGCTTGTGTGCTTGAGATTCACATATGTCTGAATGGGAATGAGAGCAAGATTATGGGGTTCTTTTTAAGCCTGAGTCTCCGGAACTTGTAATTTGCCTCTCTATGAGTCAGTGGGGCATGTGGGGTGCAAGCTCAGTGAAGTGGTCCTTCCTCCCCATGTTCTGCAGCAAAGCCTAGCCCACTGACAAGCACACGGTAGGTGCTCTGTATTGATTGCTTTCTGGCCATGATCTTATTGTTGGCTCCAGTGAATGCATATATATCTGACAGATGTGCTGGGGAAGTGTTGATGGAATGAATGACCCAGTGGGTCTGATACAAGGCTCGGCAAGGACAGGTCTGGCACCTATAGCTGGGCTGGGTTTGCAGGAAACATTAAGGAAAGCATCTTTCCCTTTGGGCCTCCCACCCAAACTCTCCTTTTCTGTCTTTTCTTTCCCTTTCCTCTTCTCTTCCTCCTCTCCTGTCTCCTCCTCTTTCTCCTCATCCTCTCCTGCTTCTCTTCCTCTTTCTTCTCCCTCCACCCCACCCCCATTCTGGAGATGGAACCCAGGGCCTCAAGAATGCTAGGGACGTTCTCTACCTCTGAGCTACCCCCAGTCCCCACCAACTTCTTAAACCAGGCTTGTGGGTAGAACTCGCCCAAACAACTTGATAACTCCTCCACTGAGGAGGAAGAGGAAGATGAGCAGTGGCCTGATGGGGCCTCCTTTGGTTCCAAAGCAGAACTCTTCCTTGGGGGAGGTGTTCATGTTCAAGTGCAGAGTGAGGAAGGAGTGTGAGAGCATCACTGCCCCAGCCCCAGCCTCACACCTCCCAGGCTTCAGCTCTCAGGTTCTTCTTCTCAGCCTGGGAGCACTGACTCTGTGTCTACCAGGCCCCCAGGAGAGGAGACAGGAGCAGGTCCTCTGTCCTGGTCTCAGTTTCCCCATGCACAGCACCAGCGGGAGCTGATGACAGGTCTGTCTCTGAAGGGGAGACTTGGGTTGGACTCCAGTACCCTGCAGGGGAGAAGTTGGCATGCTGATGGCAGTAGAGTGATAGGGAGGGATGAGGGCAGTACCTGCAAAGGTGTGTCCTTACCTGGATTCCACAGTAATGGCAAGTGGGAGAGGGAGGAGAGGGAGTCGGGGACAGGAGCTTTCAGATGCTGACGGAAGGCTGACCTCACACTCACCATCCTCGCTCAGACACCCAGGACCTGTTGGGAGCACCGGTCCTGCCCCCAGACCAGGCTAGGTAGAGAATCCCACTGCGGGAGTTCTCCCTGCTCCCACAGCTTCCCCGCTTGCTCTCGGTCCCCTCCAGGGAGTCACCATGAGTGCACAGGGTAGGTGGGGCTCTTCCAGATGCTACCCAGCTGTGAGGATCCCTTACATGCCCCTCCCTCTGCCTACATGGAGAGGAGGCTCTCACTCTGGCCAGGAAGATGAGAAGGGTGGGATGGAGGGAGGGGGGCTGGAGGGGCCACAGGGAAGCCAATCACTTGCCCCAGTTGTGTGGACATATGTGTGGGAGGCAGGGGCCTGCAGGTGGCAAGGCCCAGCTTAAGAATGATGGAGTGTTTTTTAGCTCTCTGAGCTAGAGACATATGGGCTATATAAGACCAGGCAAAATGAGAAATTACTGCCTAAGAAAGAGGACATGGGGAATGAGAAAAAATTCAAGCCCAGGAGACCCAGTGCCATCCACCCCCATCACCATCATGACCTGACCCATCTGGGCTGACTGGATTAGAGCCCATGGGGAGGGGGAGGTCTGAGAACTACTCCTCAGGGCTTTGGAGGAAAAGCTGATCCCCAAAACATGCATTTCCTCCATATTGCACAGAGCAGGGGGAGGTGGGGACAGCTGCTTAAAATTTCCAGGTGGGACGACCGCATGGAGCTTTCCCCATCTTCCTCTTTCCGACCTTGTGCCCACCTCTCTCCCCTCCCTTCTGTCTGGTCTAAGGGAGGAACAGTGCTCTGTTCTCCCACTGCCCTGTGGATCATGGCTCTCCCCAGCTCCTTGGGCCATGCAGTGGCTTCCCCAATCTGTTTCCTCTGAAATTCCTCTCTCTTTTTTTTTTTTGGTACCAGGGATCGAACTCAGGACCTTGTGCTTTTGAGGTAGGTGCTGGAACCACTGAGCTAAAAAATCCCCGGCCCTGAAATTCCTCTTCCTGAAAGAAGCATTCCAGGCCTCTTGTCTCCCCACGCAGGCCCTACCCCCTGAGAAGGTCCACTTCGCCAAACTTGCCTCTGGTGAAAGTCTTTTCCAATCCATTCCTGAGATGGTGCCTCAGTCCTTAGGGCCTGGACTCTTTTTTCTGTCCTCTAGTGCTCAGCATCCACAAGGCCAATTTAGGCTATGACCCCCACCACATAGGTAAGGATCCACGTGTGTCTGGAGTCACCAGTGCAGACCCAGGAGCAGCCTGACATTTTATGTCATTAATAGCACCTCTTCAGACCCCAGGAGGCAGAAGTGTTGAGGATGCTGGGAGGACCAATGAGTGGGACTGAGGTGTCTTCCCCTGGGGATGCTATCTCCTGCTACAGCAAGTAGTGACTGAGGCTGGACAACAGGAAGAATGAAAGTCTCTTTTTGTTTTTCTTAACTTTATTGGTACATTTTAGGTATACAATACAGTTACATACATCATTGGGATCTTGTACCTTTCGAACCAAAATCTCTTAAAGGAAAGATTTCTAGGGTTTCAGTGAAGCCCTTGGGGAGAGGGGTGATCTTGACCTTTTCAAGCTCTCAGGGAACTGAAAGACTTGTGAGTCTGGAAGGGTTCACTGCCATCCTTGCCAGACTGACCCAGAAGAGGGAAAGCTCCTCTCTCTCT